ATTTCCTTGTCTTGGAGTCTTTAGAATCATAGGTTAGAACAGGGGTGTCAAACTCACATTGTCACAGCATTGTCATGTGATATATCGGGACTTTTTCCCCCTTCGCTAAACTGGGCATGGGCCAGGAGTTTGACAGCCGTGAGCTAGAAGGTATCTTGAGAGGTCTTCTAATTCAACCTTCTGCTGAAGACAGAAGATCTCATACATCCCAGTCAAATGTTTGTCCAGTTTATTTTTGAAAACCTCTAGTGATGGTGACCCACAGTTTTGTGAGGGAAGCTGTTCCCTTGATTAATTGTTCTGTCAGGAAATTTCTCCTTATTTCTAGGATGGATCTCTCTTTAATAAGTTTCCATCCATTATCTCTGGTGCTTTGGAGAATAAGACAATCATATCTTCTCTGTGACAGCGCCTCAAGTACTGGGAGATAGTTATCATGTCCCCCGTAATCCTTCTCTTTGGTAGGGTAGATATACCTTGCTTCCTCAACCATTCATCATACTATTTAGCCTGCAGACCCCTTATTAAGGTCTCCTACTTGTGCTGGGGGCTGGACTAAGAAGACCTCCAAGATCCCTTTCAACCCTATGTTCATCTTTGTTGCAATATTCTGCAGACTTTCTATATCATAGTGACCAAAACTGAATGCAATATTCCAAGCGTGATCTTACTGATACAGTGTAAAGTGGTAGTATCAATTCACATGATCTTGATACTATCCTTCTGTTGATGCAGCCTAGGACTGTATTGGTTTTTTTGGCAGCTGCAGCACACGGCTGGCTGGCTCGTATTTAAATGATTGCCCACTAGGACACCAAGATCCCTCTCACAGTTACTGCTGTTGAGCAAGATGCCACATTCTGTATCTGTGCATTTGTTTTTTCCTGCCTAAGTGCAGGACCTGACTTTTCTCACCACTGAACAAACCTCTTGTTAGAGAGGACTCAGTTTTCAATCTTGGTGTCAATTTGCAAATATCATGAGTTCCTTTTCTATGCCCTTCTTTAGGTCATTTATGAAGTCCTTGAAGAGTTCTGAGCATAAGACTTGTTTTCAAAGCATCCATGTTGGGCACTCCCAACTTAGCACCAATTTATACCTTCTCGGCAGATACTTTCTCAATGATTAACCCTGACTTTGTTAGCGGAACTGAGCAAATGAAGAACATGGGGACACACAGACATGTATCGGCATAGATGTGCCAAGGCATTTTCTTTCTAACCATTGTTATTGCTAAAAGTGTGAAAGTGCCTTCAGCAGGTCCTCCAGCAGCTTCAGGAGACAACCGCTTCCTAACCATGTAACCCATTTCAGCTCAGAGGCCCACATCCCAAGCCCTGCTTGCTCAAGCCCAAAGGAACCAGGTGCAAGCCCACCATCAGGTGCTCAGCCCTTTAATCCATAGTTTCTCAACAGATCCACAGACCAGGAAGGTGAAGGGAGCTGCTATGAGCCTCTTCTGGGGACAGAGCCTACAGGTGAACTTGACTCACAGGAAAAGGTGTTGCTTCGGGAGACAACTCTCACACCAGCAGGCAAGCCCAAATTCTCATTTATTTCCTTCTACTGCCTTTCTTTTCTCCCCACTAACTCCCCCTCCACACACACTGAGAATTCTTGGAAAGTAAAAACAAGAACCCCAGAAATGCAGGGGATGGATGGGAACTCAAGGGAGGTGGGGATTCCTATGCATGATTCGCATCTCTCTACTCTTCCACAACTTCTATTGGTGAAGCCCAGCCACAGCTTAGTGGGAGCTACTTTGAAGCTCTGCTGCTGGGGGGGAGGGGGGGCGGTGGCAATAGCAGCAGAGCTTCAAAGTAGCTCCCAGACAGAAATGGCAGTTAGTCTGGCTGGAAGCTGACCAAGCAAACCAGGATGGCTCTTTGGAACCAAAACACCCAATCCCTGGTCCTTACCTTCTTCTTCTTGGCTTGCTACAGACAAGCACAGATTAAGCTGGCCTCGAGCTCAGGGGGAAAACAATCGCTGCCTAGTCAGAGATTTTGACAAGTAACTGGCTTCCCTAATCAACATAGGATCCTTCCGTGGCTTCAGATTTCGGGAAGCAAGGTTTGCTTCCGCAGCTCTCCCCAGACGGCCAGGTGTTAGACGTGCCATTCAGACTTAGCCCCGGAAACTTTCCCCACCCCCGCAGGGCCTGTGACTCACTTGCGGGTTCGCAGACATACCGGCAGGCAGCCTTCTCGGCCACACACTTCCTCTTCCCGAGGCGGGAGGCCCGAGAGGAAGCGCCTGGTCCGGGCACCCAGCCCTCCCCGACGGAGCAAAGCCTTGGGCGACCTGATCCGTCCGGAAGGCCTCGAGGGGCTCCAGAGTTTCCACGCGCCTCCGCCGGCCCGAGCGTCCTGCCCTCCAGATCCCAACGGGGACAGCACCCGTCGGCGCCGACCCTGGCGGGGACCGGCTGTCCTGGGGCTGCATGCGCCCACCTCGCCGCACCGCGGCGCTCGCCCACCCGTCGCCGACTGGATGCGGGTCCCGAGGCGGAGGAGAGGACGAGCGGGCGGCAGCCGCCCAGAGGCCCCGCGAAAGCCGAGAGCCGGGCCCGAAAGGCGAGCAAGCCCCGCCGTCCCCACCCCCACGGCGGCCCGCGCCCTTCGGCCAGCGCCGCGGGCCTAGAGCGGGTGTCCCTCTCCCGCCGTCGCCCTTACCTTCCAGCCCTCAGGGCTCGCGCCGCTCTCCTCACCGTGGCTGCCCGCTCGGCCCCTGGGCGAGCGGGAGCGGCGTCATCGCGGCGGGCGGGAGGCGGACCGGGAAGCCCAGCCGAACTGCCCCCGCCCCGCAGGCTGGCAGCGGCCTGACGCTGGTTGACGCGCGGGCGGCCCCAGCCCGGCACCTCCCCTCGCAGGCAGGCAGGCACGCCCACCCCCGGCCGCCTCGCCCGCCGCCGGAGCCCGATGCTCGTCCGTGCCCATGGAAGGCGGTGGAGGGACGGGCGGGGCAGGCGAAGCCGTCCGTACTCCGGGGACCATGCGGCCCGAAGGCCACTCAGCGCTTCTGCTTGCCCCTCGGCGGACGCGACTCTCCGGGGATACCGGCGGCTTCGTCGATCGCTTCGCCAATGTGCCGAGGACGCTGAGCTCGCCCGGTCGGTGCCCAAGAAGACCCCGCGGGAAGTCGGGAATCCCCGAGGAGCGGAGCCTGGGCAGGTGCTGAGGCAGCGGTGAAAGAGCTCCGGGTGATCCGAGGCCGCCTCTCTTCAGCTCCGCTTCTGGGCCCCGCACTTGGAAGGGGACAAACGCCGCCGCAGAAGCCTCGGAAGAGGCGCCGGGGATGGTCAAAGTCTGGAAGCAGAGGGGCTCGAAGAACAAGAAGTCCCGGCAAGCGTCGCCTCCAAGGAGAGGGCAAACCAAAGGGAGCCATAATGAAGCCCAACAGCCGCCGCCAAACGGCCGATTCGTGCGGAGATCTCGGGATCCGGGCTACGAAAGGACGCAAGGGAAAGAAATGCGGGCCTGGGGCTTGCGGATTTGGTGGAACGAGATGGTCGGTAGTTCTTCCAGTCGGGTGTTCTGGAGTTGCGGCGCTGGTCTGAGCGTTTCTGAAGTAGGCAGTCCTATTTGGAAAATGAATGGAGGCAGCTGTGCCAGAACTTGGAAGGACCCTCGAGGCCATCAAGCTCACCCTCCTGCAGGCATGGAAATTAAAGCCTCCCCAATGTTTGACATTGATCCTCTGATTTAAGATACCGTTCAGTCAGGTTGTTCTGTTAGGAAAATTTTTCTCACTTTCAGCTAGAATTGGTCTTTTAATTTATCCCTTACTCCACAGTCTGCATTCTAGAAGCTTCCAGTATGTTTTCCCCACACCCACACACACACCTCTTTTGGGGAAGTAGTTTGAAGAGTGCTTCCATGTCTACCCTCAGATATCTTTTCTCCAGTACTTTCCATCTCTCTTCATGGGAGTTGGGCAGTGTTTCTTAACCACTGGCTTCATAATAACACATGCAAGTCACTGAAATCTACAGGTATTTTTTTNGTGTGGAATTTTGAAGGGCTATTTGTGATTAGCTATAAGAAATTGTATGAAATTAAGTTTTCTTGAGAAATTTCAGCTGTGTTTATAGTACTTTTTATTTGCCTCCAACACCACAAAGTGTTGCTAAAATAGTGTATGGAGAACCAATCTTCACTGTTTTCCAGAGAACGAAGCAAATAAATGATTAAAATAGTAATTACTATTATATCTTGTGCCTAGGGGTAGGCTTCAAAAATTTTAGCAAAGGATTCCCTGCCTGGTTGCTGGGTGGGTGTGGCCATGGTGGGTGTGGCCTAATCAGCCTCCTGCACTACAGCGGGGGGGCATTTTTGCCCTCCCCAGCCTTCGGGGGCTTTCCTCGAGCCTCAGGGCAGGCGAAAATGGCCTCCCGAGGCTCAAGAGACCCTCTAGTGGCAGGAAATGGGCCCATTTCCAGCTTTCCCGAACTTCCAGTAGGCCCATTTTACGCCTTCCCTAAGCCTCCATGCACACCCTGCATCCAAAACTGGCCAAATGGGGACTCCCGGGAGGAGAGGGGAGGGGCGGGTGGGGCCATCTAGGAGTGGGATTTGGAGGTTCTCCAAACTGCACAGAATCTTAGCTAGAGGTTCTCCCGAACCCCTGCAAACCCCCCACAGCCCACTCCTGCCTCTCATTGCTCATCAAGGCACATAAGCAATACATTCTATACATTAACGGCAAGAAAAAATATTTCAAAAACAATCACCAAATCACATAGCTGTCCTTTATTAATGAGATTTCTCCCTCCCCGCCTTGAAAACACTAAATGTCTTGGTGCTGGTTTTTCTATGAAATGAACTGGCACTTTTTAAAAAAAATACTGTGATTATTGGCAATTCTCCATGTGTATTGTTGCAACTGGAGCCAATGGAAACCAAATCAACATTTAAATAATTTCTGGATGCTTTCAAATTCTTGAGTGAATTGCCTGGCACTTTAATCATACACATTCATAATTTAGAAAGTGAGATAAGAATACATTACCCCAGTGACATCCATGACTTTAATCGCTGCAAGTTGCCCGGTTTTAACATGACGGCCCTAGAACAAATCAAACAAATAAAGTCAGTTAGATTTCACAGTTGCACATCAGGGCCAATAATTTATCAACAAAGCTTCCAAAGTCATCAATTCTCATAAATTGGACAGGCCTTATCTCCAAATATAATTTATTCCCGCTTGATTGCTTCATCCCTTTAAGGTAAGTAGTGCAAAGTTAGAAGTCAACAGCCTCACTTCATTAGCTTGATTATCTATGAAGACATGTATTTAACAGATTTCAGAAGCAGGAAAACATTGTGGCTCCAGGACACATTTCAAATGTTGAGAATGTGTAACAATCCCAATCATAAAATGACTGCTGCAGGAAATTCACGTGGCAAAGGACAAAGTTGTATAACAGAACTCTACCGAATTTATATTCTTAAGCATCCCCTTTGAAGGGGGAAACAAACACAAAGGAGCATTCATAATATTTAATTATCCAAAAAGGGTCACTGAGTCAAAGCACAGAACACATGAAGTATGCAATTACATCTCATTCCAGTCAGCCAATCTGTGCAGATAGCCAAATGTTAGCTATTCATTCTGATGGAAGTAGTTTTAGCACCTACATTTTTCCTGCTAAGCGATCAGGAAGACTAACGTGGGTGGTTTTGTCATTAATTTACTGGCCTATTTGCAGTGCATCAAAGCACTCATATGACACTATGACAACCGTAGCAGACTCCACGATGGCAGTAGCAGCCATTTCTGGGTTTTTGCCTTCCCGGAGATCGCCACAAAGAAGAGGGAGTCAAACTATTTTCCAAGGCACCTGACAGTAGAACAAGAAACAATGGGTGGAAACTAATCAAGGAGAGAAGCAACTTATAACTGAGGAGAAATTTCCTGACAGT